AAACGTTAACACCCGCAGACAAAAAACATGGACATTCTTCCATTTTTACTAGTAAAAAAAAAATAACATTCTCAAACAACGTTCTACATTTACCTCTATCATAGGGTTTAAAAGCTAACTTAACAACATTAACCATCAAAAATTGCTGTAGTAACGTCATGTTTGGTTCAGTTTATCATCAATCCTCCATTATTAGAATACATCAGATCTAGGTAAATGTCCTTTCTAAGTAGGCTAGAAGTAACACCAAACACTTGAATTTATCCATATTATCAATATCCAATTCATTTATAGACATTACGCCACCATTCTCAATCGTTTAATCTAGAAAAACCCTTAGTCAACGGCAAAAATAAATAACTACCATGCAATCGTCTCTCTATACCTGTTTAATAAGTGAGTCTTTCTATTTGAACCAAAACACGCTACAAATCTTCCATTCAACATAACCAAACCAAATCCTCTGTAGTATCCTTTCAAGCAACACATACCATCAGTTGAATTACACTCATAAATACAGATTTTACTCTATGCCATTGAAATTACAAATAAATTCCACAAATAGCTCAATTACAATGGTTTGTCATCTTACCCTCTGATACAAAATGAAGTTCCCTCACTACGTTAGCTCTACCCTGATAATTATTTCAATGGAAACCCTACATTAGCATTGTACTATATTATACATTACGTCTATAACCACATTACTTATGGTCAGTTTATTCCTATCACATGATCCCATAACGGTACAAACTTAGAAAACCCATATTAATTACTCTCCCACCCATGACGTACGTCTACGTTTTGGGTGAGCAAGTTTAATACAGACATGGCACTCTAATTATGATTTTCTCATTACTATTTCAACATCGTCACAACTCCATATAGAATGTTAGAAACTTCTAGGTACTCACATCAAATAATCCCTTCGTGGTGTTTTTTAACCATTCTTAATCGACACAAATCACTTCTTCAAACATTTTACCAGCGGAACCAAAGAAATTGACTGTAATTTCCCGGACACTGCCCTGCCTGTCCAGAAAAGACAGACCTTTCTACTACTCTCTAAAATAACCTCACAATCTCCATACCTCTCCTTGATATTTTATGAATTAATTATGTTATATATTGTAACTTCTTATCAAAACTTATATCACATTATCAAATCCATTTTTAGAACTTATTATGCAGCCTTCAGATTCAAATTACCTTCTGCTCTTTGTTCATAAGATAGCCCATGTTGTCCCATTCAATTACTTAACTTTACATTACTTTTACAAAATACTTATTCTAACTGCGGATTTGCCTGTAATAATTTCGTCATTTCCTGTCTCTCACTTCGAGTTAAATGAAGCTCTGCTTTACTCTTAATGGTGACTGTTTTTCCAGATATCGGTCTACTAAGCTGGCCATTCATTATTCCTATTAGTTCATGCAATTATTAGTAATTAAATACTTACATTAAAATCTCCACCCTGATGTTATTAAAATTTTGTTTGCTTATTTAGACTTTTGGTGCTCTAATACAACAGGTTTACTTATCTCTGCTCTGGTTCTTTCTGTCGTATGACTTATTGCTTTCTCTCTCTCCTTCCTGTTTGGAGCAACTTCACACGCCTTATTCTCTTGTTACTACAGCACTCTATCTCTCAGAAGGTTGACCCTCCTTAATTTGTACTTCTCCTCTATATTGCTCTTACTCCCGTAAAGAATTACGGCTTATTTTAATTGTAACCTTCTAGCAGGGATTTTAACATTTATCCCTAACCTCGCTGAGGACTTGAACCTCGCACCTTTCTACGTTCGTCTACCAAGATGTTATCGCTGAGGACCTGAACCTCGCATCTTTCTACGTTCGTCTACCAAAGACGTTTATCACTGAGGACTTGAACCTCGCATCTTTCTACGTTTGTCTACCAAAGACGTTTACCGCTGAGGACTTGAACCTCGCACCTAATAATGTCTATCCTGTCGTCACGGGACTGACATAACCCATCTATCTTACTTTAGGACACGAATCTAACTTATCATAATAAAAGAGCCTACACCCAATGTTGTTAAAACCTACTCTACTACTTCTGTTTTGTGTTTGGTCCTTTACTCAGACCAAACCCTGTTTAGAATAATAGCACCCTATTATCGTCAAATTTTATTAACTCCTTACATCTCATTACATAACTCAATACAACTCATCTTCCCCCTCTTAAAATATAGAATTTTAACGTTCTTACCACAGATAAGCAGAGTTTGACATAATCAAAAAAATGAAAGTCTGCTTACCTGTTAGTTCGGCTGTACACTGCATCCTGTTCTTTTAGACGGCAATCTGTTATGATGAGTTTCTGGTATTGAGTAGTTCAAGATGCAAGAATTTACTTAGACATTCTGTGGAGATTTTACCAAGTATTTATTTGATAACGAGCCCGTGGGTTCATCTAACAAACGGACATAGCCTTGCCCCCTTGTCAGTTGAACTGCCCACACACACAAATCTCACAGCTTTTATACTCTTGGTTACACATTTCTTCAACCACATCTGGCCATCATCAATGAGCACTACCCCTTCTATGTCATGACCTCTTACCCCCAAGCAGGACGTTCCCTCCGTACATCATTCTAATATAAACCCCACTATCTTCCTTGCACAGAGTGGAATTTACTACCCCAGACTTAGTCACCCAGAGCCACTTCTCTCTACTAACTTTAAACTAGTTACACACTCATATGAAATGGCCCCATATCCTCATCATATCAACAATTAAAACAAGTTTAAACAATTAACTTCAAAGAATCAACCCTATTTCATATCATTTCAAAGTGTATGAGTAAGCTAACTCATATGTAGAGGTTAGACATTTTAGTAACAAGTAGGCTATTACTACTAAAGCATAATTTCAGGTGAACAAAAAAAAGTCAATACCAGAGTTGGCCAACCTCACTCCACTGATCCCTGATCTACTGGGTGAGCAGTCTTCCGTTCCAGCCCAGCAATAGCACACTCGATTATTAATTAATTAGGTTTGATTCATTGAATCAGGTGTGTTAGTGCTGGGCTGGAACAGAAAGGTGCACATGCAGCAGGTTTGGCCTGCTCCAGTTGTAATAGGTTTATACATTGTATGTGACTTTTAAACTGTATTTTTGTTCACAAAATTTGCCCACATAGGTACACATACACAAGGATGTACCCTTATTATCTTGGGAAATTCATTAGGACCTCTTCATCTGCAGAAAGGGTTTCACGGCTCTCTATCTGAGGACAGAAAACATTACAAAGAAACGGGCTGCATTATACTAAAATTAGACAGCCCTGAATATTATGTTGCTATATCTCTCTGTCCTCAGTTTTTCTCACTAGGGACTGGATAATATTTTTATAATGTCCTCACACAAAGGTACCTGCTCTATCCAGAGTAGCCTCCTCTCCATTCTCTGACAGCTGGAACTGCTAGCTAATCCTTTCACCCTCTTCCATGGTTTTTAGCTAGCTAATTACCTAGCTACAAATGCATTTAGTTACAACGATAAATACATCAAGATAGCTAGCTAACTAGCTAATATGAAGTTAGCAAGTTGGTGATATTTAATTCACTTAGCTGTAAGGGTTGGTGTGAGGTGTGACCCAGGTGCGGTGCAGGATAGACAATAGGCAAGGATGGTGAAACAAGGATCTTTACTGGTGGTCCAAAAGTCAGGATAAAAAATAACGGACTATTCATGAAAACAAATGAGGAGCACATAGGTCTCCAAAAAACAGGCTGACAGCAAACAATACTTAATACTAAATCTGACTGGAAAAACACGACACAGGGAGAACACTTCTCGAGTACCTGTAACTCCGTCACGTGATCCGACACTGATACGTACTGCTTGACATTAAAGAACTAGCAGAGAAAACTGAGCAAGGGAACACAGGGAAGTGAGGGCATAAATACACAGGTGAATCAGATAGACACAGGTGACACCAATAGGCAGATAATTAGTCCCGACTGTGAGTGAGGAGGTGCCTATGGTTGTCGGAGGATGACACCTAGTGGGTCGCTCCGGAACTGCGACCCACTCCTGTAACACTTAACTATCTATACAGTATGCAAAGTTAGCTAACTACGGTAGCGAACATTACTTTAGCAGCTCATTTGAGTTAGCATGCACACTAAGTTTCTGTAGCAAGCTAGGATTTTTTTTTTTTTACACAGACTAACATTCTGTTTTGTCTGTTTGGACTCAAGAGATAAGTATGGTTGCATTTATCTTTTTGCAGGCAGTCATGTTCTTTGATGAATGTATTTTCAATTTTAATGGTATAATATAGTTTTGATGATTGTATTTAAGTTTTGAGAAAGCAACTACATTTTGAAAACACGTAACTGTTTTGCAAAAGGCCATTGAGTTTTGTCTTGTGGACTCTGTTTTTAAAATCGACAACATTAAAAAATATATATATATTTGCACGCGATTTAGAAAAACTGTTAACACTTTAATAACCCTTCAGTTAATACAATTACCAAATAACAGCACCAACTGTTGCCTACTTTTAGCATTTCTATTTTGAAATGTATGAAAATATGACATTTGAGAAATTATATATAAAAATAAAACAATGCTCATTGTCCTCTTAGATATATAGGCTACAATAATATTGTACACTAATAAAACGAATGTAGAAATAAACTGGCTTCAGTATAACACTTTCCTGATACCCTGGAATACAAATAATATGTATATATTTTTATAGAAAGGACTGTTTTACACAATAAAACATTTGAGAACAATTAGTGCGTCTAGAGATGCAGTATATTTAGGTTTCGGACAGTTATTACCTATTTTCCTCTAAATGTTTACAGTTGATCTGAGCCACAATCTGATTCATAAAGTGGTCTCAATCCTTATTCTCAATCCAGAGGTATATATCATGACCAAGATGAGCAATCTCCTCCGACAGGTAGTCCACATCCTCTGTCTGTGTGGCTGGGTTGGAGAAGACATCGGAAGAAGTTCACTTAGTCTCTGAGTGGCTGATAGCCAATCATGGTCATCCCATGCTCCATCATATTGGCTTTGATCTTTGGTGCCACCTTAGAAACCAAACAGTTATTTAGCTATAGCTTTATAGAGTATGAACTGAAGTTATGATGTGTTGCTGATAGTTATGAGTATAGATACAGTATCTGCAGTATCTAATGGATAAAGGACCACTAAGGTTGAATTAAGACACATCTAATATATCACTCAGTGTTTCCCCTATATTCATTTAGCAGCGGTGCACTGCACGTTTAAAGGGATAGTGTGAGATTTTGGCAATTAAGCCCTTTTCTAAGTACCCAGAGTCAGATAAGCTATTGGATATCATTTTTATGTCTCTGCGTGCAGTTTGAAGGAAGTTGCTAACTAGCATTAGCGCAATTTCTATCTAGCGTTAGCTCAAATTCTAGCTAGTGTTAGTGGAATGACTGGAAGTCATGCTAGCTGTTCCTGTAGACTTCCAATCATTGCGCTAATGCTAGTTAGCAATAGCTCGCAAAACTATCTTCAACTTCCTTCACTGCTCGCAGAGATGTACTGTAGGGATATACTGGGAAGGTAGAAAATCTTGTACTATCCCTTTAAGATCAGAGTGACAAATTACAACGTATATTTGTAGCAAACAGAGCGAGCAGTGGCGCGAATGAGCACCATGAGTGCACAGCCACCGCTTGCTCCTCATCATCTCCCTACAGTGCAGTGGCGTGCATCAGTTATATTTCAGATGGTGTCAACATAATTTAATCTGCATGCATTTTGGAGTAGTGTCCTTTTAAAAAGTCACCAGAAGTGACCTTCTCACAGTCGTTCTTCAAAAACATCTCCCAATGAGGCATGCCCCTGGACCCTCCCTTCACTACCTTTACCACCGCTGCTGAAATAAATTCTAGGCGAAACACTGTCACTAACATTAGAGATCCAATTTGTAGCATTACCTCATGGAGTCTCCGGTTACTCTCCGGATCTGGTGGCTTGTTCTTCAGACTGCGTGGGATGACCCAGAAGCACACATTGATGTGTTCAGGCTGCGAGGGGATGTATCATTGATAAAAGGCTTAGCAACGATTCCAATCACCAATTAATTATGCAATAACTACAAGGGACTTGTTAATGAGTTTGAAACAGACTTACTTTGCTTTTGAAGAGGTTCAAAGTCTGGCCTTTGTTTAAGTTAGGCAAACAAGTACTCAGCATTTTTCCAAATATTTATTGACTTGTGATCCAAAGCTTTCTGAACCCTGAGAACAGACATATACAGTGCATTCGGAAATTATTCAGACCCCTTCCCTTTTTTCACATTTTGTTACGTTACAGCCTTATTGTAAAATTGATTTAAAAATAAAACTTTCACACAATACCCCATAATGACGAAGCCAAAACAGGTTTTTAGACATTTTTGCAATGTATTTTAAAATAAAAATCAGAAATACCTTATTTACATAAGTATTTAGACCCTTTGCTATGAGAATCAGAATTGAAAGGTGCATCCTGTTTCCATTGATAATCCTTGAGATGTTTCTACAACTTGATTGGAGTCCACCTGTGGTGAATTCAATTGATTGGACATGATTTGGAAAGATACACACTTGTCTATATAAGGTCCCACAGTTGACAGTGCATGTCAGAGCAAAAACCAAGCCAAGAGGTCGAATGAATTTTCCGTAGAGCTATGAGACAGGATTGTGTCGAGGCACGGATCTGGGGAAGGGCACCAACACATTTCTGGAGCATTGAAGGTCCCCAAGAACACAGTGGCCTCCATCATTCTTAAATGGAAGAAGTTTGGAACCACCAAGACTCTTCCTAGAGCTGGCCGCTCGGCCAAACTGAGAAATCGGGGGAGAAGGACCTTGTTCAGGGAGGCGACCAAGAACCCGATGGTCACTGACAGAGCTCCAGAGTTCCTCTGTGGAGATGAGAGAACCTTCCAGAAGGACAACCATCTCTTTAGCACTCCACCAATCAAGCCTTTATGGTAGAGTGGCAAGATGGAAGCCACTCCTCAGTAAAAGGCACATAACAGCTCACTTGGTGTTTGCCAAAAGGCACCTAAAGGACTCTCAGACCATAAAAAACAAGATTATCTGGTCTAATGAAACCAAGATTGAACTCTTTGGCCTGAATGCCAAGCATCACGTCTGGAGGAAACCTGGCACCATCCCTACGTTGAAGCATGGTGGTGTCAGCATCATGCTGTGGGGACGTTTTTCAGTGGCAAGGACTGGGAGACTAGTAAGGATCGAGTGAAAGATGAACGGAGTAAAGTACAGAGAGATCCTTGATGAAACCTGCTCCAGAGCTCTCAGAACCTCAGACTGGGGCAAAGGTTCACCTTCCAACAGGACAACAACCACTTAGCACACAGCTAAGACAATGCAGGAGTGGCTTCGGGACAAGTCTCTGAATGTCCTTGAGTGGCCTAGCCAGAGCCCGGACTGGAACCCGATCGAACATCTCTGGAGAGACCTGAAAATAGCTGTCCAGCGACACTCCCCATCCAACCTGACAGAGCTTGAGAAGAATGGGAGAAACTCCCCAAATACAGGTGTGCCAAGCTTGTAGCGTCATACCCAAGAAGACTTGAGGCTGTAATCTCTGCCAAAGGTGCTTGAACAAAGTACTGAGTGAAGGGTCTGAATACTTATGTAAATGTGTTATTTCAGTTTTTTATTTTGTATGAATTTGCACAAATTTCAAGTAATGTCATTATGGGGTATTGTGTGTAGATTGATGAGAAACAAATTATATTTAATCAATTTTAGAATAAGGCTGTAACATAACAAAATGTGGAAAAAGTAAAGGGGTCTTCATACTTTCCAAATGCACAGTAAATAATAAAATAAAATAAAAATATATAAATGTGTCAGGGTGGGTGTCAATGTGTGTTATTTACCAGTTGATGAATAAAATAATAAAGTCCATGTGAGTATGTTACATACACAGTGGGGAAAAAAAGTATTTAGTCAGCCACCAATTGTGCAAGTTCTCCCACTTAAAAAGATGAGAGAGGCCTGTAATTTTCATCATAGGTACACGTCAACTATGACAGACAAATTGAGAGAAAAAAAAATCCAGAAAATCACATTGTAGGATTTTTAATGAATTTATTTGCAAATTATGGTGGAAAATAAGTATTTGGTCACCTACAAACAAGCAAGATTTCTGTCTCTCACAGACCTGTAACTTCTTCTTTAAGAGGCTCCTCTGTCCTCCACTCGTTACCTGTATTAATCGCACCTGTTTAAACTTGTTATCAGTATAAAAGACACCTGTCCACAACCTCAAACAGTCACACTCCAAACTCCACTATGGCCAAGACCAAAGAGCTGTCAAAGGACACCAGAAACAAAATTGTAGACCTGCACCAGGCTGGGGAGACTGAATCTGCAATAGGTAAGCAGCTTGGTTTGAAGAAATCAACTGTGGGAGCAATTATTAGGAAATGGAAGACATACAAGACCACTGATAATCTCCCTCGATCTGGGGCTCCACGCAAGATCTCACCCCGTGGGGTCAAAATGATCACAAGAACGGTGAGCAAAAATCCCAGAACCACACGGGGGGACCTAGTGAATAACCTGCAGAGAGCTGGGACCAAAGTAACAAAGCGTACCATCAGTAACACACTACGCCGCCAGGGACACAAATCCTGCAGTGCCAGACGTGTCCCCCTGCTTAAGCCAGTACATGTCCAGGCCCGTCTGAAGTTTGCTTTTGGATGATCCAGAAGAGGATTGGGTAAATGTCATATGGTCAGATGAAACCGAAATATAACTTTTTGGTAAAAACTCAACTTGTCGTGTTTGGAGGACAAAGAATGCTGAGTTGCATCCAAAGAACACCATACCTACTGTGAAGCATGGGGGTGGAAACATCATGCTTTGGGGCTGTTTTTCTGCAAAGGGACCAGGACGACTGATCCGTGTAAAGGAAAAAATTAATGGGGCCATGTTTCGTGAGATTTTGAGTGAAAACCTCCTTCCATCAGCAAGGGCATTGAAGATGAAACGTGGCTGGGTCTTTCAGCATGACAATGATCCCAAACACACCGCCCGGGCAACGAAGGAGTGGCTTCGTAAGAAGCATTTCAAGGTCCTGGAGTGGCCTAGCCAGTCTCCAGATCTCAACCCCATAGAAAATCTTTGGAGGGAGTTGAAAGTCCGTGTTGCCCAGCGACAGCCCCAAAACATCACTGCTCTAGAGGAGATCTGCATGGAGGAATGGGCCAAAATACCAGCAACAGTGTGTGAAAACCTTGTGAAGACTTACAGAAAACGTTTGACCTGTGTCATTGCCAACAAAGGGTATATAACAAAGTATTGAGAAACTTTTGTTATTGACCAAATACTTATTTTCCACCATAATTTGCAAATAAATTCATTAAAAATCCTACAATGTGATTTTCTGGATTTTTTTTCCTCATTTTGTCTGTCATAGTTGACGTGTACCTATGATGAAAATTACAGGCCTCTCTCATCTTTTTAAGTGGGAGAACTTGCACAATTGGTGGCTGACTAAATACTTTTTTTCCCCACTGTACCTTGGCCTTCCACATGAGCCAGAGTTAGAAGACATCAACATGCCTTCCACATTGAATGGTCTTGTCTCCGGTGTCATAATAGGTGTCATAGTTATTGTCAGTTTGGAAGAGGTATTCAGCACACATCTGATTGCAGTCTTATTACATTGGGTGTATGTGTTTGTGTGTGTGTGTGTGTGTGTGTGTGTGTGTGTGTGTGTGTGTGTGTGTGTGTGTGTGTGTGTGTGTGTGTGTGTGTGTGTGTGTGTGTGTGCGTGAGTGAGTGTGTATGTGTCCATGATTTCGTGTGTGGGTGTGCTCGTGTGCAAATTGTAAAACAGTAGTTCAGGATTAAATGTAATAGTGGTCATTGATTTTTTAAGATTCATAGCAATAGACTACTCACCCTTTTCTTCACCAGTATGGCTGAGAAGTGCAGCGGAGCACCCATCATTTTATGAGGGTTCCATTTCACAGACCAGGCTCTATAATTTAAAAACATTAAAATAGACCTGCATGTAAGAACAAATCAAGGCATTTGCTTTTGAGAGTCAATTCCATGTACATGTTATTGACACTGGCTATACAGTACAGTGAAATCCAGCCATCTATGATCTTCTGTGAAAGTATTAAATTATGTTTTGTCCTCAAGTCTCTGTTCTCTTTGGTTACTGTATGGTTCAGTCCCTTTTAGTTTCACGCAGTGCCTCTTGGACATCAACAGTCCTCCGCCCCAGGCTGCCTGTTAAGAAATAAAGAGAGTCTGTAAATACAATCTTATATCTAAGATATAAAATATGTAAAGATAACAAAATCTTATGGGAACGCTTTCCCGGACACAAATTATGTCTAGTACTGGACTAAAAAGGATGTCTAATTGAAATATATTTTTTGTCCAGGATAAGGCTTAATCTGTGTCCAGTAAACAATGATTTATAGATAGATGCTGTAAGGTAAATACATCAACATGCAGCCATAGTCCATGGCTCTCACAGATGCCTACGATGGCATTGAAAATATCAAAGGCTCAGTATGTACACAGTGGTGCCTGCCGTGGCATTGAAGTAGAATTGGACACAACCCTGGAGAGAGAGAGAGAGAGAGAGAGAGAGAGAGAGAGAGAGAGAGAGATGACAGGAATCATGATGAGTGTGTTGACCTGTTCCTGTCAAATAGTCCCTGCCAACGCACTGGAGCTCTAGTAGCTAATTTTATACACCAGACAATGTTGTTGACTTGAAAACAGAAATTCTGATTTGAGCGAATTCTTTTGGGGGTATCTGTTTCTTTCTTATTTAAATAAATCCTTCCCTGGCTGAAAATATATGCAAATTCCATTAAAAAAAAACTCTATCCCTCAGTTTGGCAAGAGTAGACTCATTCAACCATTACCTGATCTTTGGCAGTTATGATACTGGATTTCAATTCTGCAGGGATCATCTTTCCCATTGAATAAAAAGAAAACGGCATCACTCAACTAGCTCTGATGATATTGTCAACATTCACGATCAACAAATGCAAATCACTCTGCCCTTCTTGCTTGCCGGTCATCACATTTCACCACTACACCATTTTCACTCCCTAGACCAAGGACAGCTGCAGATTTCTTGACTGAATAATGACTCTAGGGGAGGGGGAAAAGGTATTTGTCAGTACATGTTTATAGATAATATAAGCATGGTCTAAAGTGGATACTAGTAATGCATACATTTGCTAAGGTGAAGAGGATTAGTCTGGGCAAAGCCGTCAAGCCTTTTGTCTTCACTTCAGGGAATAAGTGGTATCTGGCCAGAAGTACACTGTACAGATTGGACATGGTCCCTTCTGAGTAAATACATACATATTACAGATGGATATCTCAATAAGAGATTATCATGATCTTATAATTGCATTTAACTTTATAACAACAAAACAATATAGCCAATATTAGGAGGACAAAATGAGCAAATTCAATGGAAGTAACAAGGATAAATGTATCACAGTGTAAGTTTGCCAACGGCTACATTGTTTATCTAGTAGAAAGAGGAGGATTGATAGTAAGGTGAGAATGTAGCTAACACTGTCCCTGCACAGAAAACACAGTAACACTTTACTTGACATCCAATGTCATAACACGGTATGACCCGGTCATAACGATGTCGTAATATGTCATAACAGCTGACATAACTTGTAATAACTTGTCATAATATGGTCATAACACATATATGTTTACACCCATTGTGACATACACTTCCAGTCAAAACTTTGGACACACCTTCACATTCAAGGGTTTTTCTTTATTTTTCTTTTTTTTTGCATTGTAGAATAATAGTGAAGACATCAAAACTATGATATAACACATATGAAATCATGTAGTAACCAAAAAAGTGTTAAACAAATCAAAATATATTTAAATAAATTTATATTTGAGATTCTTCAAATAGCCACCCTTTGCCTTGATGACAGCTTTGCACACTCTTGGCATTCTCTCAACCAGCTTCATGAGGTAGTCACTTGGAATCCATTTCAATTAACAGGTGTGCCTTCTTAAAAGTCAATTTGCAGAATTAATGTGTTTGAGCCAATCCGTTTTGTTGTGACAAGGTGTGTGTGGGGGGGGGGGGGGGGGGGGGGGGAGATAGAAGATAGCCCTATTTGGTAAAAGACCAAGTCCATACTATGGCAAGAACAGCTCAAATAAGCAAAGAGAAATGACAGTTTCTTTAAGACATGAAAGTCCAGTCGCAAAAACCATCAAGCGCTATGATGAAACTGCCTCTCATGAGGACCACCACAGGAATGGAAGACCCAGAGTTACCTCTGCTGCAGAGGATAAGTTCAGTAGGGTTACCAGCAGGGGCGGTGTGTTCAATAGGGCGATATGGGCGACGCACTGCCAAACGGGAAAAGGAAGGGATTTTTTTACTAATCAATTATATCACGGCAACAGTAGTTATCAGTGTTGTAATCTAGACGTCTGGTCTGATCTGCCACTAAATGTCCAATCAGGCTAAAGTCGTGCTTCAAATGCCCCCCCCCCCCCTTTTGGGGCGATTTCAGTCAGGTTGAAAATCGCCCAGAAGTCTCTCATAGACTCCCATGTAAAATCTATTTTTTTCAAATATCAGAGCTTTCAATACAATCTCTATGGGTTTCTGAGGGCTTGCACTTACGCGCTTTCGTCATACGTAACATAACCATGAACGTAACTAAGAAAAGAGCGGGTAGCCTCATCAATCAATTCACTATTACTGTCAAAATGGCAGTGCAACTCGATTGTCTCTTTGAAAGAAGTTCCTTTTTGTCGGCGAACAAATCAAGATAAATTGGCAACGAAACAATTAGGACCTCCCAGACCAAATTTAATAATTCAACAGGTTTCTACTAAAGGCGGAAAGTCCTACACCCGAGGATTTTCCAAAAATTGGTACGAACGAAAAAAGAACATTGCCACTCAACTGGAGGAGGGATACAGGCTATCTGTCCGCCGCCACAACGATGAGGTTAGTGTTGATAATCACAAGTTTACTGGAGAACTGAGACCAAGTAGAGACTTTGGACAGGGTGGATATGGTATAATAAAGGCAGTTTATTCAGAGGTAAAGATATCTGGAATCGCGTGCACGGACCCGTTCGTCAAACTCTTAGGGAGCTATACATTAAGCCCCATTACTTACCATATCAGATAAGAGAAATTGCTGCAGCTACATATATTTTACATCCTGGCCCTACATAGTTCACTATTTGCATCACTTACCAAAATATTACATGTGGTCATATATGCTTGGAAAGTGGAGATGCCATAGAACGTCAAAAAAGTAAACATTGCTGGAGACACATTGCCGTTTTGGAGAAGACATCGCGTTTGCTAGCGAAGAGATTTGTTGTGGCAAATGAACTTGGGCTGGGAATTGCCAGGAACCTCACGATAAGATATATGCATTGCGAGTCTCATGATTCTATACGTATTGCGATTCGAAACTGTGATTTTATTGCGCACCATATGTCTGTTGCAGAGGGATCAGAAAGCCATGAGAACGAGTTTTGATCAGTCATGGAAATAAAAGTGCTGAAAACAAATTGGCTCCCAATGTGAAAAGATTGAGAACAAGCTATGAAGGAACAATAATGGTGTTTTGGTGCAGGTACAGCCAACTAGCGCTAAAATATTGCGATATTGTCAATACAGTATATCGTAAAGTATCACTATGTAACTCGATTTCTTTCACCCCAATCCCTCAAATTAACGGTAAATAACTGAATTGTTTGCCCCACATTTAGCTAAGATGATTAGCTAGCCAGCTAAAATGTTTTATTTAGTTAGCAGTCGCATCTACAATAGTTTACTGTCAATAACATGTCTCCAAAAATGACGTGGTGTCTCCAATTGTGTTGACATTTTACAATTGCGATGCGCATCCATGAGTATCCACTTTCTGTAGCTCAGCTGGTAGAGCACGGCGCTTGTAACGCCAAGGTAGTGGGTTCGATCCCCGGGACCACCCATACACAAAAATGTATGCACGCATGACTGTAAGTCGCTTTGGATAAAAGCGTCTGCTAAATGGCATATTATTATTATTATCTGAAGAGAGCCCCGAAACATTGTGTGCAGACATTTTATGCAATAAATGAAGTAGGTTGAATCTAGTAGTTCTGATCTTCTGATTGGTCCTGATGAGTTGGGCGAGGTCCCCTCCAGGCTAGTGTCACTGTTGCATTGGCTCTGAGTCGGGTTCTCTGTCTTCAAATGTTCAGCCTAAGAGAGGGGATTTTTGTGTGTGTGTGTGTGTGTGTGTGTTTAACAGTGATGATGTGTGTGTGTGTGTGTGTGTGTGTGTGTGTGTTTAACAGTGATGATGTGTGTGTGTGTGTGTTTGGGTGTGTGTGTGTGTGTGTCCTCAGAGCAAGAACTCGTGAGTTGGAAGAACTGAGAGGCCTATGGCGTGGGTGTTGTCCTTGGCCACCTGCTGACAAGGCTGACAAGATAGGACCCTTTTGTCCATTGTTATTGGATAGGAACAGAACTTATAACCAGCTCCTGACCTAAATAGATCTTAGCACAACATTTTACTCAACATATCATATTCCATATTCACTATAACAAATATATTTACTACGACATTAGCAAGAACCGCCACATCCTCAGCCGGCTAATCCAGTGTGTGAAGTTTTGCGGAGTGTTTGAGTTAGCTTTGCGAGGCAAAGATGAAACTGAGGGCTCCACCAACCCTGGTAAGCCAACACTTTTGAGATCAGTCAATAAATGCTTCTGGTATTGACTTATATGCTGCCCCTGTCTTCATGTTGTTGCTGGACATATCTTTTTTAAAATGTGTGTAGGTCACCTAAATCATCAGAAAAATTGCCCCCGCTGAGAATTTTTTCAGGAGCCGCCACTGGTTACCAGCCTCAAAAATTGCAGCCAAAATATATGTTTCACAGAGTTCAACTCACAGACACATCTCAACATCAACTGTTCAGAGGGGACTATGTGAATCAGGCCTTCATGGTTGAATTGCTGCAAAGAAACCACTACTAAAGGACACCAATGAGAAGAAGAGACCTGCTTGGGCCAAGGAACACAAGCAATGGACATTAGACCGGTGGAAATGTATCCTTTGGTCTGGAGTACAAATTTGAGATTTTTGGTTCCAACCTCTGCGTCTTTGTGAGATGCAGTGTGGGTGAACGGATGATCTCTGCATGTGTAGTTCCCACCGTAAAGCATGGAGGAGGAGGTGTTATGGTGTGGGGGTGCTTTGCTGGTGACAATTAACCAGCATGGCTACCACAGCATTCTGCAGCGATACGCCATCCCATCTGGTTTGGGCTTAGTGGGACTATACTTTGTTTTTCAACAGGACAATGGCCCAACACACCTCCAGAATGTGTAAGGGCTATTTTACCAAGAAGGAGAGTGATGGAGTGCTGCATCAGATGACCTGGCCTCCACAATCCCCCGACCTCAACCCAATTGAGATGAGTCGGACCGCAGAGTGAAGGAAAATCAGCCAACAAGTGCTAAGCATATGTGGGAACTTCTTCAAGACTGTTGGAAAAGCATTCCAGGTGAAGCATTCCTGTAGCTCAGTTGTTAGAGCATGGTGCTTGCAACGCATGGGTTGTGGGTTCGTTTCCCACGGGGGGCCAGTATGAAAATGTATGCACTCACTAAATGTAAGTCGCTCTGGATAAGAGCGTCTGCTAAATGACAAAGAAAAAGCTGGTTGAGAGAATGCCAAGAGTGTGCAAAGCTGTCATCATGGCAAAGGGTGGCTATTTGAAGAATCTCAAATATAAAATATGTTTAACACTTTTTTGGTTGCTACATGATTCCATAGGTGTTATTTCACAGTTTTGATTTCTTCACTATTATTCTACAATGTAGAAAATAGTAAAAATAAAGAAAAACTCTTAAATGAGTAGGTGTGTCCAAACTTTTGACTGGTACTGTATATTGCGTTACTTTATGTCTGGTTATGACACCTACATAAGAGTGTCAAAACCCACATTTATTCAAATTCGTTTTTTCCCTGCCAAGAAGTTTCCTTTCGTTTGAAAGTTTGTTTCTTAAATCCTTTGTTGTTGTTGTAATGGATTCTTTATAGTCATGTTTTTTTCATCATATTTTAAATAACTTGTAGAAAATATATAGGGAAAGGGTGCACTATATAGGGAAAGGGTGCCATTTGGGACGTAGACCTTGAGTGCATTATAACTGATGAATAGGCTAGCAGCAATGGCTCTCATCAGCCTCAGAATGCAGCTTTTGTTGGGCTGGCTTTACGTTTGCTGTAGATCCAGCTGAAGTCCTTGAGTCAGAAAATGCCTTCA